ATTCACCTGGCATGATCGCACACACATTTAATCCCAGGACTGAAGAGGCAGAGGCAGAGGCAGGTGGATCTCTGTGAAATTGAGGCCAGCCTGGTCTACATAGTGAATTCCAGACCAGCTGGAGACCCTGTCTCAAAAAAGTCAAAACTAAAATAAATAGTCATAATTCTTTTATGATTTTCAGGTAATATGTTAATGAAGTCATGGAGTATTTATTCAGCACACAACATTCCCCAGGAATCTATAACGCCCTTAGAATAGAATCACTTTCCTGGGAGTGAAAATGAGTCACTGATTGCAGTTTTCAACATTCATACTTGTTCAAGGGTTCACATGGGAATTGGATTGGGGATCTAAAAGGGCCCCAGCAATCACAACTAGGCTCATGACAGCAGGCACATGTTTTCAGATGAGCTTTATCTTGGCCATAGATGTTCATGGAATGTCTCTGTCGGGTTTGGTAAGAGTCCTAAACTGGAGTCCTTCAGAACTCCTATAACCAGCAAGACAGATGGTGCTTGAAAGCATCCAAGTTCTATGAAAGAACCTCCAGACTACTTGTTCTTTCAGACCTTGGTGGTAATATCTCTTCTCGCAAACCCTCCTGACACTCTGCCCAAACCAGCCCTCTCTTGAGTCACCTAATATCCTGGTAGCATGTTCACTGTATTTCATTTTCTTGGGAGTCTTTGTTTTGGATACTTTTCCAGACTAAAATAAAATTGCATACATCAAAACTACATATGACAAGGCATGATGGCATATGCCTTTAATCCCAGCACTGGGGATGCAAAGGAAGGCGGATTTCTGTGAGCTTGAAGGAAGCCTGGGATGGTCTACATAGCAAGTGCCAGGCGAGCTGGGACTACGTAGTGAGACCCTGTCTCAAAACAAAGAAGCAAACAAAAAAGCACATACTACATTTGATAAAGGTATACGTTGTGGAATTATTACCGCAATCAACTACTCAACATATTCACCACTTCATTATCCTTTGGTGATGAGAGTGTTTAAGATCTACTGTTTCAGCAAAAATCAATTGTATGATACAGTACTGGTAACTGTAGTCATTGTTATTCATTGGATTTCCAGAACTTAATCATCATGTACAATTAAAATTTATAAACTTGATCAGCATCTCCCTGCTTCCCACCTCTCTCTACCCTCAGGTACCCACCGTTTTACTGTCTGCTTCTGTAGTTTGACTATTTTTGATGAAGTATAAGTGAGATCATGTACTATTTGTCTTTCTGCATCTGGCTTACTTAATTTAACATAGTTCCCAGTTTGATTCATGTTATCACAAATGACAGGAATTCCTATCCCTTCTTAGAAAGACTGTAATATTTTCCTGATATCTTTTAAACAATTCCTTTAAAAAGATTTTGAACATTTAGCCGTTCTCTTTCACTCTTTTGTGGCTCATATGTTTCTGAGCTCTACATGTCTTCCTGAATCGTTAGACTTAACACATGTTATTTCCACGAATCAGCCCTTACCTTTAACTCTTCTCCCATAGAACTCATTCCCCTTTCTCATCAGTATTAACAACATAGTCCACATGAAATATGTCTTCCTATCAAATCCATTGTGAAATGAATCTGGGCCTCAGGCAACTTAAGTACTTACCACATGCACAAGTCGATCCCTGATCAAAATAGAGTGAAAAGGAGGCTTGAGAGATGATCCGGTGACTGAGAGTACTGGTTACTCTTGCAGAACACCCTGATTTGAATCCCAACACCCACATGGTGGCTAACAATCATTCATAGCTCCAGTTCTAGGGGATCCAGTATTTTCTTCTGGGCTCCGTGGGCATTGCACGGCACAATGAATACCCTTACATATATGCAGGCAATGCACTCATACACATGAAGTAAAAATAAATAAAACAAAAAAAATTCAATACAGTGAAAAAGAAGTGACTGATTTTTCTCCATAAGATGAATGTCAAGGAAAGTAAGAAATCTGCCTTGGGAGAGAAATTAATGATTTGGAATTTTTCTCTAATATAGGATTTGATTGATACATGAAAATTCAAATTTCAGTATTCAAATCACAGAAATGCAAACTTTTCTCCAAATAAATGAGTCAATGCTTAAATAGTTAGGGATCACATGCGTTTTTGGCACTGTGGAAGTCTTTGCTGGGATGATTCCTTCCCACTCATCAACCTTCTCATTAACACCCAGTAACCATTCATCTGTTCTTCATGGCCTTGGCTTGTGTACACGGGTGGCATCACCCTAGGAATCAAAGCTCTCCTTTCTGTGAAAACGAATGGACACAGACCGCTAAGTAGTGCACCCAGCAGTCTACATTTTTCAGGAACCCCCCAGGTTGCTCTGGGGAGACACCGAGGAAAGCTCAAAGCAACGCCCTTCCCTTCTGATTTCTTGTTTCTGCAATTATGCTCATGTGACTATGGTCTAAAGTCAAATATGTCTGAGGCTTCGTCTTCTCAAGAAGCTGGAATAAGAGTAGGGCTATGTAGCAATAACATAATAAGCTGTGTTTGGTGCCAAAGTGGGTAAAACCTAAGGCTCAGAGACTTGAAAGAAAATCAGTATTTCTAACGGAGCTTGTGTAGGTCAAAGTTCACTCATCTCATCTCATTCCCAGGTGAGAGGTGCTACATCCCCAAGCCAAATGGAGACCCATTAATCACCGTTCTGTGTTCAGATCAACTTATTTTAGTTCTCACATATGAGACAGAATGTGTAGTGCCTGACTGTCTATGTCTGGCTTAGCAGAGTGTTCTTCAGCTCCATCCATTGTGCTAAAAATAAGACAGGAGTTTGTTCTTTATGGCTAAATAATATTCTGCTGTGCATATATGCCACATTTTCTCTTTTATCCATTTGCGTCCTGATGGACACCACCTGATTTTTGACAAAGGCAAAAAGGTAATTTGATAGAGGAAGACAGAGCGATTGACATCCATAAACTAAAAGGGAATGTGTGGTATGCTTTCCTAAGGGTTATATCTTATTGAAAATGTAACCTGAAATATACTGTGGAGTTATATTTAATATAGAGTTATAAAAATATTGGAAGAAAACATGTAGAAGAAAACCATCATGATCTAGGCATTAAAACGGATGTTTTACTGTTGCTAGCAAAAGTATAATCCATAAAAGAGAAAATTGGTAAATTGGACAGCAAAACTTAAAACTTTGCTCTGTAAAAATGCTACCAATAAGATAAAGATACATGCTACAGAGTAGGAGAATATTTGCAAACCACACCTGTAACAAAGGCCTAGTTTCTAGAAATATGAAGAACTCTCTAACTCAGCATTAAAGGGAGAATCAGTTTTCTCCAGGGAAGAACTCCCTGATAGGTTATCCAGTCCCACATGTGCACAATGCACACCACTAAATGGATTCAGGAGGTTGTTTACACACACACACACACAGAATTAGAGAAGAGTTTGGGAAATTTTGAAGGAATGGGGGAAACATGGGAAAAGCTGTGGGGAGGAAGAAGCGAAAATGATATAGTACTCAAGTATAACATTCACACAAAAAGTCAAAATTTACATTTAAAAAGCCAATCGAGTGATAATAGGAGACAAGTGTTATCAAGGGGAAAATTGGGAAATTTGGGGCACTTTAATGGCGAAGGAGAAGGGAGGGTTAGACAGGGAGAGAGAGGAGAGATAAATAATGCTTAGGTGGTGTGAATAAACAGCAGAAATGTATTAGCTCAAACGCCTACTGAAAAATACACGTACAATATCTGTATGTGAGTGCGTGGGTACAGCTGAAGGCTGTATAACAAGCAACACAGGGCCAGGCAGGAGGAAACTCTTCTTGTTGTTAGGGTGATCCAGGAGATTCCCAAAATAATGCAGGCTATTGCCACAGTCTTTGATTACCTCCCAGATTTTGAAGGTAAGACCCTACTGCTGAAGACAGGCAATACTCCAGACACAGGTCCTGGATCAATGGAGTTGGAACTGACCTGGAAGTCTCCTTGAAGACTAGTTCTCATAGTTCTAGAGGATACCTAGCAGGATGCTAAAAGAGAACATCAACCAATGGTCCAACTCCAGCTGTAAGGCCTGATAACCACCATGACTGCTACAGCAAACTCTCTCTATTGGTGCAGTAGTGGCACCTTTATCTTGGGGGTAACCAACAGCTATGAAATTGGACTTAAGGCCTGTTCGATGGGCCTTAGCATATATATTAAGACATATGAGTGGGGCCTGTTCCCACTCATGTGTGGCACTGTAAACATAGCCAAACACACATTGCTGGAGCAGTCATAGATCCTAGAGAGAACCCTACATCTGTCACATCCCTAGACAAACAATTTCTTACTATATGCTGAATATGCATCATTATATTCACAGACAAGTATTCCGGTCACCACTCATCAAAGAAGCTTCTTTTTGCAACAAATGGAGACAATTACAAGAGTTCCACAACTCTTTAAACACTGAGAATAAGTGTCTGTGAGATGCCCTGCCCTAAGTGACACACCTACAATGGAGCCTCTACACCTAAGGATCATAGAACATAGTGAACAGGAGGTAGGGAGAATGCTAATACATCTCTCGACTCTCACCAGTGGCACTTCCTCATGCAACAGAGGGCAATTAACGCATAAGGCCACAACTGACCAAAATATGGAGAAAGAGACTGCAGAATGCATGACCCTGGATAGAACCCTATATTAAATCTCACCCAACCAAGGCTCAGGGACCATTGTGGAACAGGAGGCAGAAAGATTGTAAGAGCCAGAGATGGTAAATGACCATCCAGACTTCTGGGAACTTGCTCATATGAACTTACAGCAATGGTGACAGCATGTGTAAGACCCATTCTAACTCAAACCAGACAAAAACCCAGCAGAGAAATGGGAAGTGGGTAATAAGCCCCAAGCTTAGCTGAGGAATTATTGGCAGCTGGCTGAGGGAGAGTTCTTCTGTCAGGGACCAAGCGCCAGTGGATGAGCTCACACCAAGGAATATCTGGGGACACACACTTGACCCGATAGGCCTTAACATTTACGACAGAATGCATGAAATCCTGTGGACAGGCTCTAGGGGATTGCAGGGAGGGGAGGAGATCTAAATATGATCAAGATGCATGAAATGCACAAAAATTAAATAAAAATATATATTGAAAAAAGTAACTAATCCGATTACAACATAGACAAAAGGTATGAAAAGGTATTTCACTGAGGGTGGACAAGTAGCAAAGAAACACGTGAAAGAAGCTCAGCGTTGTTAGCTGTTGGGGAAGTACCCGGCCACCCTAAGGCACTTTGGGCAGTTGGCGGCTTCACGAAGTGAGAAAGACAATGTCTTACAGGGAGCCCAGTGGATGGACCCACACTGAAGGACATTGGGGGACACAAATCATACTCTATAGGCCACATTATATAATTGTGGGGGGTTCAGAGAGAGGAGCATATCTAAATGCCATCAAACTATATTGTATGAAAATCATAAAAGTTCAATAAAAATACCAAAAACACACCCATGATGAATATCACTAGATACTTATCATAAAATGATTGTAAATAAAAGTTAAAAATCAACAATGCTAAATGCTGACAAGCATGCAAAGAAACAGCATCACTTATCTTTGGTTAGTGGGAAGGTAGAATTCTACAGCCATGCCAGAAAGCACTTTGACAATTTCTTTAAAAATTAAGCAATTAGCCAGGTGTGGCGATGCATACCTTTGATTCCATCACTCTGGAAGCAGAAGCAAGCAAATCTCTGTGAGACTGAGGCCAGTCTGGTCTACATAGAGAGTTCTAGGCCAGTTGGGACTGCAGGGAGAGGATGTCTCAAATATAAACAAACAAGCAAGCAAACAAACAAATACACAAATAAATAACCACAAAATGTAACAGGTGCATCCTCAGCATTTATACCAGAGAAATGAAAATGAGTGCTTGTAAGGGACTAAATAAGCAGGGTCCCCAAGGAGAAGTAAACACGGCACACTTCCATCTTTTTGACCTGAGGCAAAGGCCTGGGGGCTCCCCATCTAGCCAGCAAAGTTCTCTTTCTGGCCAACTAATCCAAACACGTTCAGAAAATACTGAGGCTGGACCTAGGTATCTCATCACTGGAAACCATAAACCTATTAGCCTTCTCTTTTTTGTTTAAGCTGTCCAATCCAAAATTAGGGGAAGGGAATGCCCTAAAGTCCTTAAAAGAATTGCCTGGGTCCCCTCTCCACATGTGGAAAGCTTCTCTGTGTGGGTAGGACGATGTATGTGAAGCTTCATCTTTCAATACGAAGTTTGTCTGCTTGCTGCTTTTTTCTGGTTTGAGATTTTTCCTGTCTTTTATTTTCTGAGAAAATGAACTCAACATCATCTCTAGGCTGCAACTGATAACTGCTTCTGTGACATGTTCAAACAGTAACCTGTACATTGAATGTTTATAGAAACTTTACTCATAATAGTCAAAGAATGGTAACAAGCCAGCTGTCCTTCAGTGGGCGAATATTTAAACAAACCTTGGTATTGAATAACTCCCAAAAGTTGCACACAATATACTTCCATTTATATGTAAATTTTGATGTGACAAACTACAGATCTGGAGAAGAGACAGTTTCTAGGTATTAATGAGAAGTTAGGGGTGAAAGGGAAGTAACAGTGGTAATTAAAAAACCAACAAGCTGGGGGCAAGTGTCACTTTCTTCAATCAGGTTGTAACCACTGATAAATTCCCATGCTCCAGTAAACACCTCCCACCCAGGCTCATTCAAGCAACTCTATTCAATTCAATGAGTCTTTCTCTCTCTCTCTCTCTCCCCGCCCCCCCCAACACAAAGACATGAAAGTAGGATCTGGATTTGTTGGGAAGAAGGTTTCAGCAGGAGAGGGAGGTGGGATAAAAGCTGGTAATATGGAGTGCAAATGACTGAAGTGTATTTTATATACATGAATTCTTATGAAGCTGTCAAAGAATAAAAAAAAAAGATTCTTGTCCATACCTGGCATTGTTATATATCAGAGTCAAGAACCTGTGGCCAGAGAGGTCACAGGCCATAAGGGAGAACTTGTTACTATCATCCTGCTAGATGGACATAGTATTAAACTGACTCTGAATGACTTACTGTTATAGCATAGACTAGTGCACCTCTCACCTCTCACCAGAGAAGCTTCTTCTTGCAGCAGATGGTGATTAACACAGAGACCCACAAGTGCTCAGCCTGCAGAGAGTAAGAGACTGTGGACTGCTCAGCCCTAAATGAGACACCTGTATCACACCTTCTCCTCCCAAGGCTCAGGGGTCATTGCGGAAGAGGGGACAGAAAGACTGTAAGAGCCAGAAGTTAATACAAGGAAACCATGTTGTCTGTACACCACGGGGCAGTTTCACATATGAACCCACAGTGCTTATGATGGCATGTAAGACCTGTGCAAGCCCAAGCCAGATAAAAACTCATGTATGTAAGTTCACCCATGTCGTGCAATGCCCATGGGGAGGTAAGCAAGAAGCCCCAGCCCTAGCTGGGGATCTACTGGCAATTAATAACTGCTGGGAGAGGAAGAGTCAGTTTTCTTTAAGGATGTGTGTGATACCAGACTCCAAGGGATGAACCTACACCCAAAAGCATTTGGTGGATGCAAATTTGACTCAATAGTCCTTTAAAAAGGGAAAAATAATAATAGGGGTCATGAATTCTGGGGGCAGGGATAGTAGGGTAGATGTGGATGGGAGAAGGGATCTGAACATGATTAAACACATTGTATGAAATTCTCAAAGAATCAAAAATATATTATTTTTTTAAAAGATTCTTGGGATGAAAATGTTCTGTGTCTTGATATAATTGGCATAAAGAGTAATTAGCTAAAGTAAAAGTAGCAAACAAGTGGAATGCACAGGACTACTGGTGAAAGGAAAACCAGGTCAGAGCCCACTATTGTATTTTGGGGGGGGTTGGTTTTTTTAACAGATGTCTCAGTCTTTGTGCTTGAAACAGACATGTGTGATCACATTCACGTTAACAAGAGAATGAAATAACCAAGAAAACAGCACTTGCTATCTATATTAACGATAAAATGTTGAATTTAAGGGTATTGTTTTTATTTTTTATTGAATTTTTTGTGTTTCATACAATT